CTCTACTATACTTTACTTATGCTTTGACATCACGTGTGAAATGGGTTCATTCCCGCTCACTAGCACACTCTTATATCTAGGCACTTTTAGATTTAAATTTATTCACATTTTCCACATCACTACACTTTATGGCTTCGTCACCCTCCTGGTGTCAGCTAGCATAGCTTGATTCGGAGTCCAAGTAGACATTCCAGGTCGAGGTGTGTCATTCTTCTCCAATGACCTAAATAGAAGCCCCATTTACCTTCTCCATGATCTCCAGCCTTAAAATCCCAGAAAATCTCACTTCTTAACAAAAACCTCACTGTAATTTCTTTGAGGAGTAATTACTTTTCTAGGAATCTATCAACTGGGTTTAATTTCGTTGAAGTTTTGGATGATTCTCCTTCAATATCCTCAACAGGACTCTGCCCTTTGACTTGGCGGCGAAAACCTGCGCTACTTGAACCTCTCCAACAATAAAATCTCTAGAAAAGTTCCAATTGGTTTTGAGAAAATGGTTGTAGAAAACTCCACTATTAATCTCTCCTTCAACAGCTTGACCGGAGCGATTCCAGTCTCACAATTAAGGACGATCAGGATTATCCAGACCCATAATTTCAGACAGGGCAAAAAAGGGTTTGTCGATGCATTCCCGTTTTTCTATTTCTAGAAAGATAAGGGTTCTGGGCTTGTTCGGAGGGTATGAAGAATGAGGGAGGTTGAAGTAGGTGTGGGGATGGGAGTGAAAGTAGAACTCTCTCTCGTCCTATACCACTTCCATTTTCTCCTCTTCTCTCATACTTTCCATTGTGTATACCACTCCCATTTTATACTCTTCTCTCATACTTTCCATCATGTCTTTCTCTATAAGAAAATTTATATAAGATGTTGACGTGGCTTAATCATGACCGTTCAAATAGGAAGGGAGGGAAGATAAGGGAAAAAAGAAGAAGATAAGATAATCTTATTCCATGAGAAGAGGCCATTTTATTTTTGAATCACCTGAAGCTTTGTTCTCAGTTGCATCTTTGTTCAGAGACAATAATTAGCAAGCTTTCAAATTGTTGAAGAAGAAACTTGTTCACTAATAACAACCCCCAATTATGAAATTTGTAGATTCCAGAGAGAAAGAGTTGGTGGCCAGTGCGGTGGCTGGGTTCTGAGCGAGGGTGAAGAACAAGTGAGGTCAAGGCAGGCGTAGGGATAGGGGCCCACTCTTTATTTTTTTTAATTTTTATTTGTTTTAACTTTTTAGTGTATTTTATTTAATTAAAATTTTCTTAATATTTTTTAGACCCGCATAAACATAAATGTAGTATTAGCACTGGTCACGTCATCATTTAACAGTTTATTTAATTAATAAATTTTTTATGAATGTATGAAATTAAAATGAATTAATTACTAATGTATGAACGCAAAACTTTAATAAGAGAGGAATACTAAGTTTTAACCATCTGATGAAACAAACGAAGCACATCACAAACCTCACTTTTATTTTTCAACACATACAACCACGTTATAAAGGTGCAATCATTCACGAAAGTAACAAACCACTTAATTCTCGAAGTATTACTAACATGGGAAGGTCCCACACATTAGAGTGTACTAGCACAAAAGGAAAAGACCTTATATTCATACTTCAAGGGAATGAAGCATGATGACTTTTGGCTAAAATACAGACTTCACACTTCAATTCTAAGTCTTAAATACCACTGAACATATCCGGTCAAATATGTTTTACATAACCCAAATATGTGAAATTGGTACCAGGTGAAATATCTTGTAAATAAAAATTATAATCCGCTGGACTGACTAGTCAAGCCCGCTAATCAACTAAGATAGATTTGTTAGTCAATAAATCAAAGATTCAATTACCAATTTCTGTTCTCACAAACCATCCTAGTCAGCAAGGCTGCAGTTCGTTGCAAGTTATTAATGTGTCAAGTGGGCAGGATTGTGAGCACATACCATTTAAATGTTCAACAGATATATGTATCATGTATGTGTACTGAGATGTGTGACACAATAACAAGAACTTGAACATAAGATATTTTTGGCTAGAAAAACACACCTCTAGGTAAAAAAAATCGAGGACTCTCCACTGAGTCCAATCCACTAGTGTAAACAAAGGTTCATATAAAGATCACACAAGCTTAATTCCTAGATCCCTATCTATGGAGTAGCTTTACCTTTATGCAACTTTGCCTTACATAAGATGGACTCCTTCGAACTTCAAGAAGTGGCAGCTCTTCCTGAGCTCATCACCATGTGGCACCAAGATCAACACAATCAATGATGTGATATGATTTTATGATATGCATATGAAATCTAGATTTAAATGACCAATCAGATTCTCCAGTCAAACAATTGAAGGAAGAATCTAACTTGAATCCAAAAGCTTGGTCTAAAATCAAATTTAAAGCTTAAAACCAAACCAAGACTATAATGCAAAACCTTAAAACAATGCAACCCTAATAGACAATGATTGGGTGTTTAATGCATGAGGAAGATTTGGCAGTTAGGGTTTCATTTATGGAGAAAATGCAAGCTCAAAGCCCTTAAGGCAACTCCTTCTCTTTCTAAAACTAAGTTCTAAACCCCAAAAAACAATATGCAACCCTAGAAGCAAATATACCCAAGGAAATCTGATTTTCCATCAACCAATTTGTCCCACAAACACTTATCGGCTGCAAAAGAGATCTAGGCAGATCAATGACCAATATTGACTACCAGCAGAAAGGTCTCAGTCAACCCATGTGGGTTGTCTTAATCTGTGTGCCTAGACATCTGAAATTTAGCACCCAAAATTGACTAGACAATCAAATTAGACAGAATGCAATACAAATAGAAATATGAAATGCACATGCATGAACATACATTATGAAATGCACATGCATGAACATACATTTTGAGGTGAAATGTGCCACTTCATGAACATTTCCTCCAGTAACAACAGCCCAGAATCACAGTATATCCTAAAGCTAGATTGAGCATGTATAATGGTTCATTTACAATATTTGACAATAAAAGCCAAACACTTAATACTAGACTTTACAAGATGCATGCCATAAACGTTGATGCAACAACAATACCTTCTGTAGATTACTATTACACGAAGCACGAACCAAATTAGCTATTCCAGGAACCACATCATCCACATAATATAGCACATCTTTCTTAGTGTCACACTCAATAATCTCGTTTATCTGAATATCCTGAAGCAAGCAAAATGAAGGATACATTAATACAACACAATCCAATTATTCAGTAACTTATGGTACATATAATAAGTGATGGGACAATAACTATCAATAAACAATTATGTAAGGAGAGAGGGTGTAAGACACATTGTTCATGCTCCAACAACATGAGCAATAGTACTATTAGCAATTACCACACACTTTCTATGAGGATGGATTTAGATTGAAACTAAGTTTTGTCTTAAATCATATGATCCATTGCACCGGAATCCAAAATTCAACCCATGATCGCCATTATAATAACACACACGACTGCACACGAGGCCTACTTGCAGTAGAATACTCCTACACAGCACTGTCCTGCAAATAACAAAGCACGGCAAAGGACAAAACAACAATTGCAACAACGTCAACCGATTACACGGAAAGTAATTATAGACAGCAATAAACGGCACAACAACAATTGCAGCCAATCCACGCAGCACAACAACACACTGCACCACCAGCACATCATTGCAATTCCAGGCGGCAGACAAACCACGCACGTCACCAACCTGCTGCTGCACCGCAACTGGGCACGGTGTACACATAGTAGAACGGGACCCAGGATCCTTTCCAGATCTCTTTGTGAGGATCCAGATGATTCTTTAGTTGTGTTCATTCATCGTATATTATGCGGTCAGAAATTATTTTAAAATTTTTATTCAAAATTGAACAAAAATAGTACTTGACAAAAACTGATCACACGATTTACGATAAACGAACACGATTAAAATATCTCTTAAATCCTCACAGAAAGGATTCGGAGAAGATCCTCATACGGAGAACGGTACACAATAAAACAACTGTTTGACATACTACACCGGCAAGCAGCAATTGGAATACCTGCCCGAGTACTTTCCTTGTATGTTATTATTAGGGTACAATAGCAATTGTATAGGGAACACACACTGATACACGGACAAAATAGCATAAAAGAGTACAAACTTTCACACGGCAAAACAAAACCAACCCTCTTCCCACACTCTGCAATTCAATACAACTGCGATGTACACACACGGCACAAGTGCAAAAAACACACCGATTGTGCAGTTTACTATTTGTAATTAGGATCGAAACCAATCTCTTGATGGCAAGAAGAAAATCATTAAAAATGCTTGGTTACTTTATTCATCCTTTAGAATTTATAATATGGGCACATATGCCTTATTCTATAAGGAATATAATTAAGATACGAAAACCAAATTCTAAAGATTACAAATCCTAATCCTACCTAAAATAGAATTCTAAAAATATCCACAATTAAGACTTAAATCAACAAAAACTTGAAGGAACAGAAAAGTAGAAAGCAAGCAAATAAGAAGAAAATGATTGAGCTTGGATTCATATTCTTTTTCGTTAACTTTTCCACCTCGATAATTCCCCTCTGCCTCTGGTAACACTGGTACTATCAGCACATTATATTAATTCTTCTTTTGAGTTATGGTTCTCTGATTTTCTATTGAATAATCAATCAGCAGTTAGGAGAATCACCACGTGAGTTTCGGATTCGAACTTGTAATTGAAGGAACTGATGTTCTGAGGAAATATGAATCCCAAGAAACAAGCAGGTCAGATGTCCCTCATTTACCATGCAAAACCGTTAACCGTGGAGAGTTGCTTTTTCATGACATAAAGTACAACTGTGGAACGCAGCTTGCCGGTGTGTCCACTCCAGAGTTGTTCTTAATTATGTATATTAATTATTTTGTGGAATATAGTTTACGAATCATGCATCTACGTTTCATTGCTGCCGAGAAAAGTTCAAATGCCAATACATAAGCTAGAATGGAGTTGCTCCATATGTCCTGTTGCGCAAAACAGTCTCTTTTATACAAGAACCAGGAGTCAGTTACACAAATTATTCTTTGAACTCTATCGTTTTACAAGTGTAATAATAAGCTGGATTCATAAAGATCCTTAATTTCATTTATTTCACCAAATTACCGCCAGCCTTGATTAGCTGAAATTTGCATTTCAAGGTGGAAATTGTGGCACGGTAGAAGACCTATGCTAGGACTACTGTTTCAACGGTATTTGACTGCATAAATTGTTCGAGTTGTTGGCCTTCTTCCCCTTCCCATATCTCAGGCAATGCTTCTTTAATGTTGTGGATACTACTCAACGCATGATCTGCACCGGGCACTAGTACTGAGCTCCCCACCTGCCATAAGTTTTTCCACTTAATTGTATCAGAAAACCTCATTCAACTTCAATTAGTTGAGTTGCTTGTTTAATTTATTTGTGATATGCTTGAAGTTTCCATCCTTGAATGCTTCAATTGATCTTTTTTTTTAACTAGTTGCATGTAGATAGTTCTTACAATGACTGTATGAAGTCCTGCTGCCTTCCCACTTGCTATGTTTCGAGCACTGTCATCAAAGAAAATCTGAGAACAGAAGGGGAAAATAATCTCCATTATACAGCTTCCTCTCTGTTTGAAGCTAAATAAAATGAAAAGGTTAAACTTTGTTTACTACCTTCATGTTTCATAGTTTTCAATATTTAGTAAATCAAGTTTTTTTTCATTTTAGATTGGGCATCCATGTGGACAATGACGTGACGCCCATGTGAACTATGACTGGACGTCACGTGTCATTAAAAATATTTAAATAATTTATTATAAAAAAAAAAAAAAAAAACCATCCCTTCTCCCCCCCCCTCCAACCCAAAAGAAGAAGAAGAAAAAAAAAAAAAAAAAAAAAACAGAATCTGCAACCCAGTAGAAGAAGAAGAAGGAAGAAAAAAAAAACAGAAAAACCGAATCAACAACCCAGAAGAAGAAGGAAGAAGAAGAGGAAGAAGAAGAGACAAAAAAAAAAAAAAACAGCAGCCCAAACCCAGTTCGTTCACCCCCCGGCCCCGCGTTCCAAATCTGCAACCCAGAAGAAGAAGAAGAGAAAAAAAAAAAAAAAAAAAAAAAAAACTGAATCTGCAGCCCAGAAGAAGGAAAAAAAAAACAGCAACCAAACCCAGCTCGTCCCCCACCCTGCCCCGCGACCGCGAACGCGAACCCAGACCATGAACTGGGTTTTCTTTTTCCTTCTTCTTCTTCTTCTAGGTTGGGGGCGGGACTGGGTTTTTTTTGTTTTCCTACTTCTTCTTCTTTTGGTTCTTGTTCTTGTTCTTGTTCTTCTGGGTTGGGGGTGCAGGGGGAAGAAGGGATGGGGTTTTTCTTTTCTTTTTTATCATTTTTTTTTAATTTAATTAATTTTTTTAATTTTTTTTTTAATGACATGTAACGTCCAATCATTGTCCACATGGATGTCATGTCATCATTTAACGTGAGAACTAACAGTTTGACTAACAGATATATGAGACTATCCCAAAATTAATACTTCAGGTATGACTCTGGGATGAAAAAAACTTGATGTACTAAATGTTGAAAACCACGAAACATGAGTGGTAGTAAACAGAGTTTAACCAAAAAATTTAAAGCGCGACGTTTCATGTCTAGCTAAGAAAGCATTGAATGATCGATCATACTGTTTTCTTTGGATCAACATTTGCAATACGAATGGCAGCTTCAGTTGCTTTCACAGAGGGTTTGCAAAGGATTGGTGACTTGGGGGGACCGATTAGACTAGTAACGGTCAAGTCAGTGGCTTTAGCCTCCAGTGCCTGTTTTGGGAGGACCGTACGGAGGTCATCTGCTGCAGTAGGAGTACTGCTCATGCAATTAAGTACTTCTTCTGCTTCATCATCAAGATTATGAGGAGGGTTAAGAGTTTCGAAGCATATGATGCCTTCAAAACAATCTTCCAAGCCCAACCTGTTGAGAACTTGAGCTGCATGCGCCCTGTCTGCGTTAGTAAAGATCTGAAACCACCAACACAAAGAAGCATCTTAATAAATTAGTTTACATAAACAAAGAGACCGACTTGATGACTATATGTAACTATGTCATAGATATGCGCAGGATGAAATGCAGGTCATCTAAACAAGCTTTAACAAATTTAATTAATTAGTTGACGTACTATTTTTCTCTGGGGCATTGATAACAGAAGGTTCCTTAACACCAGATCGTGCGTCAATAAGTCATAGGGCAGTCTACCGTGGACATAGGCATGAAACTCATCGTTGTCAAATTCGTAACCAAGAGCCTGGATGAATATGTAGTGTATATATATATATAGAGAGAGAGAGAGAGAGAGATTAAGTGGGACTATATATCAAAATTCAAGGTATACATATATAACTATGATTTGAAGTGAGATTGATAAAATCTCGACTCCACCAACTTAAAGGGGAATGCAACTGCAAGGACAGTTCGCTAGTGATCTGTAAATTTTACCTTTAGACCGGCCATGGTTGTCCCGTATTCCCGGTATAGGTCCAGGCACATCCCTGGTACCTCACCTTCTTCTATTTGCAATTGCTGCAGCATGAACTCTGTAGTAATTGCTCAACCTCGATCATCAGTTAATACTGTTTAATGTAGTTTTGGCTATAACTTATAATAAGTAAATACATTATCGATATATCTGATTCATATATATATACATATACGTACCTTCAATATTCTTGCGACATGCCAAGTTGAGGCCTGAGCTCAGGGGATAAAGAGTATCATCCAAATCTGCAGAATGTACATTTAATAGTCAAATCCAGAAATCTTAACAAAAATACATTAATCACTTAATTAATCAAAAGGGCTTGCAGTAAGAAAGAGTCGAATTAATATTGACAACAAATCCAGAAATCTTAACAAATTAACGTTTCACATTGAATGATTTGTATCATACCAAAAAGCAAGCAGTCATATTTGGCTCCACCGGACTTCCCAATAGCAGCATCCATCTTCAAGAATATACCTGCAGAACAAGCTGCCGGTTCCACAAATTAGTAGGAGCTAACGATTAATTTGAAATAATTTAAGTTTGCAATAAGAAATCATAAGAGCTATTTCCTATTTGGAATTAATCCTGGCCATCTGTCTAATCCTTCTTAGTTCTTACGTACGTTAATGATGAACATACATGAATGCATGGCAATTTCATTTGAAAGTGGAAACAACACTTGCAAAACAAAGGACCAAAAGAGTCTATATATAATGAAAGCATGATGTATTAATAGGCAAGTCTATGTATGATCAGTAAATTAAAACGCCGAAACATTATAATATATAAAATTCAATTATCTGTACATGGAGATGGAGTAGGAGACAGTGAATCATGCAACATGTATAATAGAAATTTAAGATAATGTTATTACCTTGAATACGTAGCAGATCAAGAATGACGAACAGATAACTCTGGTATATCGATGGTTATTGGTTACGGCCAGGTAGTGTGCATATATATAGATATAAATTCTTGAGGAATGTGCATGCTCGTCGCGGTACCATCAGAGGTGGTGATACAGCTGAATACTGATGGTGATATGGAGCATATATATTATTCAGGAAATATATTATATTCTCTGTGGAGTGTGGACCGTAAACCATATATGCTTGTTCTTTGCTTCAAGGCAGCTGTCTCTTTCGATCCATATATCTCTAACAAAACGTGCCATATGGAGGCATATTCCATATGGGTTTTGAATCTTATTATATGCAGAAATAAAATGTTCTCTCTCTCTCTCTCTCTCTCTCTCTCTCTCTCTCTCTCTCTCTCTCTATATATATATATATATATATATATATATGTATGTATGTATGAGCCACTAATGTGCATGCATATATGCTTCTCTAACTACTTGATTTATCTCTTATATCTTTTTCGACACTACTCATCAGCATGAGAATAATAACATAAAAGTGAAATCATGCTAAAAATTAATAAGAGATCATATATATACGTGTGGATATGTCTATGTACGGATGTGTGTGTATGTATAGATACTGATGAGGATTTTTTTTGGGGCAAAATTGTTGAGGAATTTAAGAATCAAATTAAGATATGTGGGAGAATTCATGCTCTGTTTGACACCGACAACCTGTAAGTGGAGTGGAGTGGAGTGGGAGTGGGGTTGTCAAGATGAGGAGACTATTCCTTCCTCTCTAACATGGTGGCTAAATGGAATAAACGCATAATGCAAATGCCTACATGCATAATTCACATTATTCATGTTAGACGATTACATCACTTGGCATTATTCTACAACTTATGCTTATCAGTCATGACTGCTGTCTCAGCATTTTGCAACCAAACTAGGCTAGCTAGTACAAGTGAATTATCCCACGAATAATGATACCATCCATCTCTATCAAAAAGCGTGTCAAAAAATTTTTATTATAATTTATACCTGAGAATTTTTCTTCCCTATTGGATGTTAAAAAAAAAAATAAAAATTAGAGAGTTGGATACAAAATACCGTATGTGATCTTTATATATAAAGCCAGTAGCTTCATTTTGGGGCCACAGCTTCATAAAAAATAAGGGGATAAAAATGCCTCCCAAAACAAAAAAGTTCAAAAATAGCTTAAAATAATGCATCAAATAATACAGGAGTGTTTTTGTCATATAAACAGTATTTCTTTAATAATTAAATTTTTTGTACAGTATTTTAAAAAAAATTTAATTAGTACCTCACAATAAACTAACTATTACACACCATCCCTAATTTTAAAAGTAGTTTTGGATTGTTATTTAAGAACTGTTGAAAGGGCCTTAATAGGTGTGCCCATAGGCCCACCTTGTTTTGTGTCCCACGGCCTCCCTCCTCGATGTGCTCCCCCGAGCTCTCTCACTCCTTTAGCTCTCACTCTCCCTTATCTCTCCCTCTCGACTCTCTGCAACTCTCTCATTCCTTCTTCCCCGAACACACACACACACACACACATACATACATACACGCAAGCAACCATCGCCACGATCACATCATCACCATCACTCGGACCCTCCCTTCTACCCCTCACCTCTCCGGTCTCTCTCTCTCTCTCTCTCTCTCTCTTTGGCACTGTACACAGTCACTGTGCAAGGGATTTCTAAAGAAGGTAAGTCGAACCACTCTTCCATCTTTCTCCCTAGTAGTCTAGAAGGCTTAGTGGTTGCTAAAAAGTGGTTTTTGGTGAAGGCTTGGACATGAAAACAACTCAGGGAGCTTTCCCCAGTTTCCAGCAAGCACCGTCCCTTTTGAGGCAATTTCCAGCCAAACCACGGCAAGTTGGCCAGTGTGCCAGGCATCAATCTCTTCGTCTCACTGAGTACTATAACTTTCCTTTTTGTTTCACCCAATTTTGTTGAGTATTGAAGAAGTTATACTCATTTGAATCTTACCCAGTTTTCGGTGACCTCTGCGGCTTTCGAGTCGTTTTCGGGCAAAAACACGAAGAGTTAGACTCATATGAGGTACCATTCTCTTCATCTCGTCGAGAACTATGATTTCCATTTTTGAATCACTCAATTTTGTTGAGTATTGACAAAGTTATGAACGTTTAAAGTTGTCCAATTTTTCGGCCGAAATCTGGCCTCCTTCTTCAATAGGGTCCGGTGACCCACAAACCTTAGACCCAAAACCCTTTTTACCCAGTCCAATCCTTTGGACCGGGCTGCTGAGCCCAAGCCCTCTTAAGCCCAAACCCAAAACCTCCCAAACGTAAATTTGAATTTAGTCTCAACCCTTTGAGCCTAAACCCCTAACCCTTTGTCACTTAGGCCTTTAGGCCATCTAAAACTCGGGCCTTAGGCCCATGACCCCCCAAAGCCTAAACCCCTTTTATTTATTTATGTATTTTATTTGTTTGAAACTAAATCTAAACTCTTAAAGCCCAACCCTTTTAAAAGCCTAACCCAAACCTTTTTAATCTAGGGCCTTAACCACTAAACCATTTAACCTTTCAAACCCTAAACCCTAACCGGCCCAAACCTTTTTTGGGGAATATTTCTTTAGGGAATATTCTATTGGAGAATATTTTGTTAGGAAATATTTCATTAAGGAATATTCTGTCAGGAAATATTTTCTAGAATATTCTATTGACTTTTACGAAATTTAACTGGAACCCTTCTTAGCATATTTCGACGTCCTGAATCTGTTTCTGACGTCCATTTTCCCAAATTCAATTTCTTTAATATAGTTTTATTAATTGGAACCTTTATATGCTTAGAGGCAAATTATTTGTGACAATTTCGTGTTCTCTAGTTTGCCTGGCTCTTCGGCGACTAACTATCTGTGAGTGGACCCCTTCTAAAAATGCATGTTTTAATAGTATAAATGCACACATGAAAATCATTATTTAATGATTACGTTTTGTTAAACTGTTGAACAACAAAAATATACAACGTAAAAAAAATAGAGTCCATACAAATTGGGTCAAACTACAAGACAAAATAAAAATGTAATTCAGCCCAAAAGATGAGGATGGGCTTTGCATATAATAATAAAAGTAAACAGGATGTGAATCCCTTCGTATAAAAGGGAGAAACGTGGAGGAGGTTAAAAGAAAGTGGTAGAAAACATGGCCTTCACCTCCCCCACGTAAAAAACTCTAGAACCTTCCCAGGATGCCTATATATAGGCATCAGCTGCAGCAAGAAGGAGACAGAAAAAGACGGGGGATAGTCTGCAGAAAATAAGAAAAATTTTGAGAGAAAATATCCAAAGCAACGAAGTGCTGCCAGGAAAGTGAACAAGGAGTTCAACCATTCGTGCTTTCGAATCAAGTTCCAAAGAAGAACATTCATCACCAGGTATGAAACAAGTTCTGTTAATTTATTTATCTCTTTTGTTTAATGTTGTGTTGTAGACAAAAGTGAAAAAATGGGGCATAATCAACTACCTAGAACCTATAATATTCAAATTATACAAGAAATTTGCCAACAAACCACCATAAAAGGTTTCTGTGCAAGGAGGGTTTCTTAAATGGTAGCCCGACTACTCTTCTATACCTGCAACAACAACACAAAGTAGTCCAAAAAAGTAGCCACATGTTTTCCTAGAGAGCAAAAGTACACAAGAGTTTCACTCCTCGCCATTGTCGTCATTCCCATGAATTTCTTCGGGGTGGCCTAGATCATCCCGTGAAGTTCCAATCAAGTCTAAGTAACCCATGCTTGCTGTCCATGCCAAGAAGGAAAGGAGCAATTGGTGTTACGACAAGCAAAGGTTTGGATAAAGAAAGAGCAAAGTTTCATTTGACTCTGAACATTGACGGCAAGTCTTCTAGGTAACATGAATGCCATTCGTATGGTTATCATGTTGGGCAAACTTAAGGAGATTTGAAAGACAACAAAGGATCATTCTAATTGCTATCGGTCAAAAATCAGGCCAAGGAAGCAAATATAGAAAGTCTAAGTCTTATATGCAAGGTCATTCTTTGCGGTCCAATGAGAAAATAGGTGCACTAATGGACAAATGAACAAAGGAAAAGAAGTCAAATACAACTTTTGTTCCCCTTAAACCGACCCATGCTTGGTCTCTGTGAAGAAAAACAACAAGGGATCAACATATAACAAAATGCAACTCAAAAGGAAAGAAATTGTTCTGTTTTCTTTGCTACTCACGAGTACAAGACGAGGAGAAGGCCTTTGCATAAAATCCTATGAAAACTCACTTGGGATAAGAATCCAAGGAAAAGGAGAAATTGGAAAATATGATGTCTCCCTTTATAAAGTTCCAGCAAAAATGGGGTGATGTTTGTATATTTCAAAGATAGACCAAAGTCAAAGCATGGGACTTTATCAAAAAAAAAAAAGTTAAAGTATGGGTCAAAAATATTGACCAAAAGCATTGAAGTAAGACTAACAGATGCTACAAGACAAAGGGAAAGAAAGGAAACTTGCCAATCTCTAATTAACAGCTAAAGGGGATTTGCTTCTCTGCCATGTGAAGTTGGATTTGAAAGAGTTCAAAGCTATCTCAAGTTTACAAATAAGGAAAAGCTTGCTATCAAACTTCCCAAATTAATTGGGAAACTCATTCACATGGCAACCTTTGTATTAACACCCAAAGAACTAGAAGACAAATCAAAATTACAAAAGATTTTGGGAAAAGTATCACTTTGTACAAGTGTTAATGAGAAAAGATGGCAAGTATCAAAGACAACACATGGATGGGAGCACAAAAAGGGTGTCCAAATACCCACTGTCAAGACTAGCGAAATAATTCTCAACGCAATAGAAATGCCAGAGAGCGATTATTACACACTGAAACATTAAAACCCATTCAAAATACGGCAGATACTATGAGTACGTTACTACAAATTTCGGGGTGTAATTCTCACCTTTGGAGCCATGAATCAACAATTGTCTTCAATAAATTCGGTACTGCAAAATGGTTTGTCCAACGACCATGTCAAAAACCAAGTCAAAATGGTACGGAAAGCTACTGATGATAAACGACAAGTTATATAAATTTAGACTACGGAAGTTACCAACATCAAATTAGGCTTATCATCTACCATTACAAAAAAGAAGGG